GAATTTTTAAGTATGGGACTTGTTTATATTATTTCACGTTAACAATCCCGAATAAAACTAGCAACTTCGCAGTCGCTTTTCACAACTTTGTAAGCAGTTTGTTGTCAATTTTTTCAGATGTCTGTTGTGATAGTCTGGTTATATATATGGCATTCTCGGAACATTTACTTAATATTTACGAATTTAACTGCGGGGCTGTCATGATAATGACATAGGCTAAACATACAAACAACTCCGCCAACATTTCCTTCGTTTTTTTCCAACTTTGCACGCTGTTTTCTAACATTTCACAGTCAACTGATGCGAACATCTATAGGCTGCTTTCAATTGACTTTTATTAAATTTGTCGACTTTACACCGGCACCGTTTTATATGCAAACAACTCAGGTCATATATACAAATACATCTACCAACTTTGCAATAACTTTCCACAACTTTGCAATAACTTTGAACAACTTTGCACGTTGCGTTAACAGCTTAAATCACACTACGTTCCGACAGAATAAACAACTTGTTATTGAAAACTAGAAGGGATTTGAAAACTTCCCATTGATTAAAAAAGTTACCACAATTCCACGATTTTGTACTATAAATGTTTGACATCACCGTAAGAAATAGTAAAGGAACGTTGCCTTAGATATTTTCCATGAGCGTAATGAAACAAAAACAAAAAAATAACAGCTCGTTTACTCAGGGAGTCTCCCATGCAAGTACTCACCACGCCCGATTGTGCTTTACTTTAAATATGTCCCGTTCATCTAAACACACAGCTGCCTGGAATATTTAAAATTAAGCCAAATTATTGGCTATTTCATGTTTTTTTGATGTTTCAAAATCGCTCGCACAAGTACTTTCAAGAATTGACCTATGACCTCTACATACTTGGACTAACACTACGGTAATTTAACAGGACTTTATGAGATATTTGTTCATATATTTGAATTTTTAAGTATGGGACTTGTTTATATTATTTCACGTTAACAATCCCGAATAAAACTAGCAACTTCGCAGTCGCTTTTCACAACTTTGTAAGCAGTTTGTTGTCAATTTTTTCAGATGTCTGTTGTGATAGTCTGGTTATATATATGGCATTCTCGGAACATTTACTTAATATTTACGAATTTAACTGCGGGGCTGTCATGATAATGACATAGGCTAAACATACAAACAACTCCGCCAACATTTCCTTCGTTTTTTTCCAACTTTGCACGCTGTTTTCTAACATTTCACAGTCAACTGATGCGAACATCTATAGGCTGTTTTCAATTGGCTTTTATTACATTTGTCGACTTTACAACGTCATCGTTTTATATGCAAACTTAGGTCATATATACATCTACCACCTTTGCAATAACTTTGCAGAACTTTGCAATAACTATGAACAACTTTGCACGTTGCGTTAACAGCTTAAATCACACTTCGGTTCGACAGAATAAACAATTTGTTATTGAAAATTAGAACGAATTTGAAAGCTTCCCATTGATTAAAAAAGTTACCAAAATTCCACGATTTTGTACTATAAATGTTTGACATCACAGTAAGAAATAGTAAAGGAATGTTGCCTTAGATCTTTTCCATGTGCGTAATGAAACAAAAAAAAATTTACAGCTCGTTTACTCAGAGAGTGTCCCATGCAAGTACTACCCACGCCAGATTGTGCTTTACTTTAAATATGTTTCGTTCATCTAACCACACAACTGCCTGGAATATTAGAAATTAAGCCAAATTGGCGGCTACTTCATGTTTTTGGATGTCTTAGAATCGCTTGCAAAAGTACTTTCAAGAATTGACCTATCACCTCTACATACTTGGACTAACACTACGGTAATTTAACAGCAATTTACGAGATATTTGTTCATATATTCGATCTTTTAAGAATGGGACTTGTTAATATGATATCACAGGTAACAATCCCAAATGAATCTACCAAGTTTGCAATCGCTTTTCACGACTTTGTAAGCAGTTTGTCTTCGATTTTTCGGTTCGCTATTGTGATAATCTGCTTATGTATGGGGCATTTTCTGGACATTTACTTAATGTTTTTGCAATTTAAATATACAAGCAACTTTGCCAACTTTTCATTCGCTTTTTCCAACTTTGTACACTGTTTTTTAACCTTTTATAGACATGAGATATGTGACAATCTGCTAATATAGGTTGCTTTCAACTGGCTTTCATTCATTTTTTTGACTTTACTACTCCGGGTTTCTATATGCCGACAACGTAGATCATATGTACAAATACATTTACCAACTTTGCTGTCACTTTGCACAACTTTGCAATCACTACGCACAACTTTGTAGGGCTTTCACTCGAATTTTGATTAATTTGTCTTACTTTTAACTGTGGACAACCACTTAGGTCAAGCTTGCAAACATATCTACCAACATTTGAATCGCTTTTTACAATTTTGTACCATGTTCTAACATATACCTATTATTGTTGTCCACAATCAAGAATATTTTAGTTAAATTAACGCCAAATTTTCTAATTTCTTTGACAATTAAATTCAATTTTACAATATAATCCACACACCTGTATTCATGTGCAGACTGTAATCCACACACTTGTATTCATGTGGAGACTGTAATCTACACACTTGTATTCGTCTGGACACTGTAATCCACACACTTGTATTCATGTGCAGACTGTAATCCACACACTTGTATTCATGTGCAGACTGCAATCCACACAATTGTATTCGTGTGGAGACTGTTATCCACACACTTGTATTCATATGGAGACTGTAATCCACACAATTGTATTCGCGTGACTCTGTAATCCACACACTTGTATTCATGTGGAGACTGTAATTCACATACTTGTATTCGTGTGGAGACTGTAATCCACACACTTGTATTCATATGGAGACTGTAATCCACACAATTGGATTCGTGTGGAGACTGTAATTTACACACTTGTATTCATGTGGAAACTGTAATCCACACAATTGTATTCGCGTGACTCAGTAATCCACACACTTGTATTCATGTGGAGACTGTAATCCACACAATTGTATTCGCGTGACTCAGTAATCCACACACTTGTATTCATGTGGAGACTGTAATCCACATACTTGTATTCGTGTGGAGACTAATCCACACACTTGTATTCATGTGGAGACTGTAATCCACAGAATTGTATTCGCGTGACTCTGTAATCCACACACTTGTATTCATGTGGAGACTGTAATCCACATACTTGTATTCATGTGGACTGTAAACCACTCATTTGTATTCACGTGACGACTGTAATCTACACCTTGTATTCATGTGAAGATTGTAATCCATACACTTGTATGCATGTGGAGACTGTAATCCACATACTTGTATTCGTCTGGACAATGTAATCCACACACCTGTATTCATGTGCAGACTGTAATCCACACACTTGTATTCATGTGGAGACTGTAATCTACACACTTGTATTCGTCTGGACACTGTAATCTACACACTTGTATTCGTCTGGACACTGTAATCCACACACTTGTATTCATGTGCAGACTGTAATCCACACACTTGTATTCATGTGCAGACTGTAATCCACACAATTGTATTCGTGTGGAGACTGAAATCCACACACTTGTATTCATATGGAGACTGTAATCCACACAATTGTATTCGCGTGACTCTGTAATCCACACACTTGTATTCATGTGGAGACTGTAATTCACATACTTGTATTCGTGTGGAGACTGTAATCCACACACTTGTATTCATATGGAGACTGTAATCCACACAATTGTACTGTGTGAATCTGTAATCCACACACTTATATTCGTATGGAGACTGTAATCCACACAATTGTACTGTGTGAATCTGTAATCCACACACTTGTATTCGTATGGAGACTGTAATCCACACAATTGTACTGTGTGAATCTGTAATCCACACACTTATATTCGTATGGAGACTGTAATCCACACAATTGTACTGTGTGAATCTGTAATCCACACACTTGTATTCGTATGGAGACTGTAATCCACACAATTGTACTGTGTGAATCTGTTTTCTGCACACTTGTATTCGGGTTGAGACTGTAATCCACATACTTGTATTCATGTGGAGACTGTAATCCACACACTTGTATATTATCATAGTTTACAAACTGAACTTATCTTAGAGAATGTATTTACATGTTTCTAGGTTTAAGCCAATATCCCATGTCAGTCATCAGTTGCACACAAAAACATACTGCCACACAATCAAACATAGTAATATATTTTTTATTGCAATCTATGTAAAAGGGAATACTCTGATAGATTTTTATAAATAGTTCTTACAAATTCATGCATTTCAAACAATACAATACAAAAATATTCAATTTATACATATTTATAAACAAACGCAGAAAAGGTGCAAAATGTATTCTACTGCATGGTAATAATTACATAGTGAAACAATTTAAAGCAATTGACTGATTTATACAAGTATTATATAATACTGTAGGACGGAAATATGTTGACTTATAAAGATAATAAAAAAGACATGAATAAAATATACAAATCTTATCACATATCCCTACCATGAATATTTGTATTCTGTTTCAGCAATCCAGTCAAGTAAAATTATATTTCCATTCAACAATACAAATTTTGAAAATCAAATAACAATTTCTATTGCCAAACATCAAACGTGTCTGCCAAATAATACAGATGTGCTGTATTCAAGATACTGATATGAAGGTTCATATAAAACTTGTATAATGTCAAGCTATTTATGCAATGACTGATTTGTCTCACTTTTAATAAAAATCACAGAATGGGTTCTTTACACATGTAATTTATTTTCACTTATTTTTTGTTGAATACAAGTAAACCAAAGGGAAAATTAACAAATTTTTGAGAGATTTATCTCCATTCATTTACTCCTACAACAAAAATAAATTGAGCTGAAAAAACAATTATACATTGGTGAAGAAGCCATTATGTTTTACGGGAGGAAAATATTGTCATAAAAAAGATGTAAAGCAATAAAAGGTACATAATGTAGCCTCCAACTATGAAAACAAGTGCACATTTTGCACTCTCTCAAGTCAATGATTGCCTTTTTTTACAATATCTCATCTAGGGATGACAGTGTTCACACAAAATGAATAGAGTAGCATAACATGAATATTATTTAAAATAAACTTGCAAGTTACATTTCATCAGCACTCAAGAAATATGTCACAACAAAATTGTACTTGATTTTCCTTGTTTAGGAAATATTTTTCTGGTTTAAATATGTTTGCAAAAGTCTTATTTGTTAATAGGTAAATGTTTCAAAGGACGGAAGGGAAATGGGAAATAATCTTTATAAGATTATTCACTTGTAAAAATGTGTTATGTGAGTTTAATCAGTGTTGAGGATAAGATCAACTCCCTGGAGAACCCAGTGGGAAATATGCTCATGGGTTGAGAGATCAGCTTCAAACACTAATCCAACACCCATGGCATTTCTTCTCTGTGATGTTGTGTACACAGGGGTACGAATAGTATTCTGAAAAAAAATATATATACATATAATATGATGTTTTTTAAGGTCACACCAGGTAAGGTTGGTTGCCTGTTCTCACATGGTCATACACTCCTGTAAGACAACTATAAACTGGGCAGTCCCTTTTTTCATATAGGGTTAGTTAATTTGTGGTTATGACAGGTCATTACTGTATTGATCAAATATTCTAAATTCTAGAAATAGTCAAGTTAATATGCATTTAGAGACAGAAACACATCCTAAACAATATATCAAAAATCTAATAAAATCTAAATAGGGGTAAGTTGTTAGATATTCACTATTTGCTCCAAGGCAAGGTTTTTATTCCTGTCAGAAGTTATGTAACAGGCATTCAACTGCAATTTTAATGAATGACAGCCCATGTGCTGGCTTGTGTTAATATTATATTCTTGTGCACATGATGCATATTTATATAGCTACAGCAAATGTAAAACAAATGTATCAGCTTCCTAGCTTTCTTGAGTCATACTTATGTGGAGCAGGTTATCCAACTTTTGATTTTTAATGTAATTTGTATCGAATTATATTTTTATTTTGTATTTGCTACTTTTTCATACTATATTTATTTATTTTTAAAATAATGTTATTAGAAATGTCAAACTTGAATATTCTCCATGTAGTTAGTGTTTTGGGGCAATGAACATTTTTTTTCAACTTCTAAGTATGAAGTACTGAATACAGTAAAAACATTAGATGCAAATTACAGTGAAAATCAAAAGTTAGTTAATCTGCTCAAGTACTTTCATAACCACTGACTAGAAGAATCCTTTGCTTTGATGCAACTGCTCAGAAATTAGATGATTTTATTTACAGCAAGTCTCAGAAGTATCGAGACGGCAAGTTAGCAAACCTGCTCACTAATTCGCTAGCAATTTGGTTTTGACAAAACAGATTTTACCATTGCAAACAATTTTGCATACTTTTCAGTCCAGAAAAAGATCATAAACTTATTTAAAATACCGTTAGATATTACTAGCATTTGAATGTGACAGAATTGAGGTTAATATTCAAATTTTAGGTCATGTGTATTAGTCAAAACCAAAGTAGTTGGCAAATTAGGGCAGCAAGTTTGATAACTTGCTGCCTTAGTACTTGTATGACTTGCTGTAACAACTTTCACCTACCCCTACTTTGCTAGATTTTTGATAGGTTGTTTTAAGAGGGTATTGTTACATGTTACCACCAACAGATTTTACTGGCAAATTAGGCACAGAATATATCAGCAAGGGTTACCGCTGATTAGACATGAAACTACAGCTCAAGAAGTGTATAACAAGCCTTGGTATGACCAACTATATGTAAATTTGACACAGCTGAGCTAGCATAAAATGGATGGATATCACATTCACAATACAACAATTAATGTTACGATCAACAACGATTGGCCCTAGTGTCAAGCAAAAAGCAAAACCCAACTTCATATGATAAATATTGACAGGTAAGCCACTGATTACTCTGAATGTTGTGTGGTGAGATGGCCATACGTCAGGCCATTTGTTTTAACTAGTAGTACTGAAGTCACTTTCCATTGAAACAATTATGAAATTTGAAACATTTAGATGGAATGTTCCATCCATCTGTTAGAAGTCATTTCAAATGATTTTGATTACATCAGTAAGGTGGTACCCCTGGTAATTAACAAATTAAGAAGCAATATAGTAATGTATGGAGAAATGACAACAATCAAGGGTACCATCACTTTTTAATTCTGCCATATATGTATGTAACCATAATGTTTAGACAAGTATCAAGAACTACCAAGTTAGTAGTTAAACTAGTTAAAATAAAAAATAAAATATTCACATACCTGTAATTTCAATCTGTGTGCTTCAATTGGAATCACTTTTAGAATTGGTAACTCCTGAATCAGCTGCTTTGGTTTCTGTCTTATTAAACAGGAATCTTCCCTGTCCCAAGCAGCTCCTTCCAAATACAGACCAGTCACAAAGCAACCTATAGAGATATGTATACGTACATTAGATTTTAGGAAACAATGATGTTGTTTTATAGAATACAAGAATGTGATGAGTGTATTACAAACCTTGATGTGCTCTTTCATTGACTTCATCTGGATTGAGATATGATGTAACAGTTGTGTAGAGTGTAGAACGATCCAGTGGCCATCCATTCTTACGACAAGTAGCTTGCACTAAGGCAGTCAAGTAAGATTCTGGGATATGCAGACCTGACAGCCACATGACAGCTGGTTCACTCTCATTCACCTAATCAAATAAATTACAATTCAGATTAAGATTTGACTTACTCAGTTGTCAATTTGTGATTTAATGGCATTCATACTACAACAAGTGTTTTTGTCACAATGCAATATTCGTGCAAATACACTCACAAGCCATGTATGTGTCCAAGTGAATTCTGAGTAATATTCATGTTAATTTTCATGTGATTCAATTAAACTTAGTACTGACATTTTCTTCTACAGATCTACTTTGTAGTAAATTTGAAAGGAAACAAAATTTACTTATGAACACAGTATACTTACCCAAGTGGTATACTGCTGATATCTCCTCAAGAAATGAACCATCCAGTTACCCAGAGATTTCAATGTATCAGGAGCAAGTCGTCTCCATATACTCGGAATAAAACCATTGAATAATGCACGGGATACATCATCAAGCTCTTTGCTCATACCAACCTCTCCTTTCAGAGCCTGTCAATAGAATATTGATATAATGAACATTTTTGGTTCAAGATCAGATTGAATTTACAGATAACTGGACCTTTGTTTGCCTTTAAAAAATTATAACCACACATTTCACTTTGAAACATGAGATATAGCAGTTATGATATCAATGAAATCAATTCATCTAACTACAAAAAATAAGTTTCAGTAGTGCAATTATTAATAGCTTGTCCGCATTCCATGACCAGACATCAAGTACTAAACTTACCCTCTGAAGCTCTGTGAGTGACCTAAATATTCTGTAAATCAATTTATTGTATCTTTCTAGTTCTTGTAGCAACACTACTGTTGTTGGTGTGATTTCTAATCCAAACTTCTTTCGTATCTTGTCCATATCAAACTGTTCTGGTAACTTGCTTTGTATATCAGTGGCAATATTTGCAATGAAATCATCCCGGCTTATACCGCTGCTTGATTCACCTACAACAAGTAATTGCATTACACAGATAAAGTTTAACAAGTTTAAGAAGTGCTTGCATGACAACCTTTTTGCACATGCACTGGTTACTATAATCTCAAATATAACTAACAGCTTTAAACATGGTTCTAGTAATGTAGATGATATTAATTACAGCAATCATTTATGTTACAAAAAAAACCTGCTCAACCATCGGATTTGAATACCCATCATCATTTCTATTGAACACAAAACAGCACACTCTATCATCTATAGTGATAGAGTAAGTATCATTTCTGATCAAAAATAAACAAGGTCAATGAAGAAAAGAAAATTGTATTGTTTTTCAGCTCAATTTCTTTTTCTTTAATCTAGAATATGAACAAGATAAAAATGTCTGGTATATGGCATATATTGAAAAGGAAACAAGCCATGCATGGCACAGTCCCCCCGTAGTTATCAAATTTAAGATGTATAGTTTTGTTTATAGTAATATAGCTGGAATATAACCATGTCAGAAATATGATTATGATGATTGTTTAACATTAAAATGATTGACATTTGTATCTGATCGTCGAACAAGTACTTGTCCATATTGGGAGATATTACTCTGGAACAGCATTCATTAAAACAAAATGGCCACCAGTCAGCCATTTTGAATCTAATCTGAGAAATAAAATGACGTACATCAGGAACCCGTAATGTCTAATGAATGTACCAAGTTTGAATGAAATCCATCCAGAAATGCTTGATATTTGATGATTTTTTTAGCACAAAAATGGCCACCATTCGGCCAATTTGAATAGAATCGTAAAACCAATATATCTGTATATCTATGACATGATGTATAATGAATATTAAAAATTTGAACATAATCAGTCAAAGCAAGTCAGAGATATGGGTCTAGAAGCCCATTCATTAAAACAAAATGGCCGCCAGTCAGCCATTTTGAATCCGATCTGAAAAATAAAATTGTTTGCATCAAGGTCCCATAATGTTTAATGTATATACCAGGTTTGAACAAAATCCATATGTAAACAACCGAGAAATGCTTGATTTTGATGATTTTTTTGCCCAAAAATGGCTGCCATTCGGCCATCTTGAATCAGATCCTGAAACAAATTGATGTGCATATGTATAATAACATGTATGATGTATGTGTAAATCCGATCTGAAAAATAAAATTGTTTGCATCAAGGTCCCATAATGTTTAATGTATATACCAGGTTTGAACAAAATCCATATGTAAACAACCGAGAAATGCTTGATTTTGATGATTTTTTAGCCCAAAAATGGCTGCCATTCGGCCATCTTGAATCAGATCCTGAAACAAATTGATGTGCATATGTATAATAACATGTATGATGTATGTGTAAAGTTTGATTATGATTCGTCCAGGCATTTCAAAGATACAGGTCTAGACGCACACACAAACGCACGGAAGCACAGACGCACGAACGCACAAGGGTCAAAACATAAGTGTCAGTTTTCAGACTGCGTCCGAACGGGGACTAATAAAAGCTGAAAATAAACCATTATTAAATGGCCAGCGGGATCTTGTTAAAAGCAAGAAGGCCACACAACTTGTAGTGTTCCATCCTCTGCTACCATCACAACAAATTGAGAATAAGTTCTACTGATGATCTCCATCATGGAATGACCAAATCGGATCAAGGTCTCCCTGAGGAATGACCTACATATCAGCAATCAGGATGGTAGTTTTCAAGAAGAAGCTGAAAATCTACACATTTCATTCTATAAGATATTATAAGTAACCTCTTACCTGTTTGTGGTTGTAGTTCTATTAGTTGGGCCCACATATCTCTGGCAGCCTGGGTATAGTAGCCAATTTCAGCATTTGGATGCAAACCAAACACTTCAGGAGTATTTGCTAAGGGTAACTCTTCAATATAGTCTGTAGTATATATACAAAAAGATACAAAAAATTAATATCAGACCATATTACATTATTACACAGAAAGCATTAATTCCTGATCTGCTATGAATAAAATAAGACCTTGTATCCAGGCAATTCCAATTCATCTATTTCATAACTTTGAAATTCTAATTTAATTGTGAACAAGTAATGACACGACACAGTCCCCATAAAGTTTTTAGTATAATATTGTGCAGTAGTTGATGTATTGCCGCATATGTTAAATGATCTGTGTTTAGTAAAGGTGAAAGGTGCATTCAATCAAAACATATGATATATTAATCAGTATGCCATTTCTCAAAACAAATGAAGTTCAATGATTGTACCAAGTTTGGACAAATAATGATTTGTACAGCAAATTTGAAAAGCTTTTCAATTCCAAGTACTTCTTACCCATATAAACCTCACGTGGACCAAGTTCAGGAATGCAGTAATCAACTTGATCGTTGACATAGAAATGGAATGGTTGGAAAGTGTCAAAGATGAAGTCACCCATATATTCATCCATATATGTATTCAAAACACGACGATCAAAAACGTCAATCGCACGTCCACCATACATCACCTGTGATATAATATCATTAAAAGTGTCATAAAAATTAATGAATATCGCATTGATTAAACCACAACTGATCACAAATCTTGTATTAAATAAAGTAAACTAGTATCAAGGACTACTACTGTTCTTCTAAAACTTTGTTAAAATTGGTCACCAGCTGGAATATATGTTTTGGCTCTGTATTCAAATTAGGTTAGTCTGAAGGCAAATATGCAAAGTGGCTGGTGTAAATGAGAAGTATATACATGTATAGCAATAATTTAAATACCGGTAAGAAATCAGTTATTGAAATTTACATGAAGACAGGAAAGCAAGTAAGAAGACCATATGCATACAGTATATGTTGGTTAGATCATTATAGAATTATTACTTACCTCACCAATAAGGTACTTCAAACTGTTCCATGGCACCTTTGGATCATTGTTTTCATATGATTTCGTCAGATATGTATTCATAATATTCATACATACAGAGAAATCAGATTCATTAAAATCATATGGGATGTTCCATCCTATTTTTCCGTATTTTCGTCTCTCTTGTACCACAGCATGGAAGAAGGCAAGTGTGAATACAAGTGGCTTGAAAGCAGAGTGGGGACATTCCTCCAGTGCAGGGGCTGATATCTTGTGGTAGGTACTACGCAAGTTCAATTTGAGACCATTAGGTGGCTCTGTTACCACCTGTAACACAAGAATAAAAAACACATTGTAATTGTTATAATTTATTCATTGATTTGTTTGTGTCTTGAATTCTAAACAGTACTGCATGGTGTGTGTCCTGGAAAAAAAAGTAGAGTAATATTCTAAAGACATGTTCTTTTATTTGCCATTGAAATGCAAATTACAAATTCAGAGTCAAGTTTTCAGAACATGTAGCTATTAATTAATCATTACTTACACTATAATACTAAAAAATGACTAAAAATAATCTGGCTATTGCTTTGTGTAGACTGGTGTCAGTTTATTTAATAAACAAATAAATGGAGGTGAGTGGAACTAAAACACATGACATAGATTACTATCAGAAAACAATTATTGTCAGAAAGCAAAATGCACTATCTGAATATACCTTGAATGATTTCTGTAGAATACCAATTGGAAAGTCTGGAGTTGGATCTGTTGTTAGCCATAAACGGAAATCAGGATGGGGTTTCACTAGTTTCTCTAGGGCTTTTTCCAGTTCTTTCAGCCATTTGACCAATAGATGACAATTCTGCAGCATCAACCACTGACCACGTGCTATGGCAGTCTCCAAAAGTTGCAAAGCAATCTGAAAATTCACATATACAAATTTTGTATTAACATGAGTAACAAGAAAAAAACTGTAAAACTCCTACTACCATGAAGATCCATGTTCTAGCTAGTACAGCACTTACAGAACAAACAATGGAACAGCCAGTAAATAAGTATGCACTATACAGGTGTATACTGTCAAGTTGTAAAAAATGTATGACAATAGTGTACATGTTAATGTTTGCCTTTGCTTTATTATATCACTTAGTGCAATACAAGAAATTCAAAGCAGCAGCAAAGGCAACTTCAAATCTTCAAAATAATATTACTACCATTATATTATCGCCTCAAACCATAAATGCTCTCTAGACTCTGAAATTCATACTATGTTATTGTTAACAAAAACCTAGAGAAATAGGTGCAATATGAACACCACTAGGATTGAGAATATTAACTGACTTGGGCCCTTGGTTTTAGATCCTCTATAGAAACAACAGTCAAAGGTAAGGTGTTTGAACTGCAAAGGTTTTACTATGCATTGTATATGTAATTGCAGTATTGTGAGTACATGTATTGTGAAGTGCAGAGAACAATTTCATTCACACACAAAAGATGCTGCGATCAATTTGTACCGTAGCAAGAAAAAATAACTCAGTAACTCACCTTTTCTTGTCCCTGACCCATAGAGAGAAATTTCAATCGGTTGCCTCCAAACCCAGACCTCTCAGCCAGTTTTGACAGATCACTTGCTGGGTCAGAACCAGGACTCAGAATAAAGACAATTGGTGAGAAAGGGTTGCTTTGTTCAAAGATAGCCTCAAAGCTTATAACAGGTGGTGTAACATATTTTTCTCCCATTCGTGAACAGACAAAGTCTGTAACAGATCTGTAGACACGGTCAATGCGAAAGCAACGTAGTAAGCACAGCCGCTGAAATTCTGAAAGATTGTTCTCATATTTTCCAGGTATCTTGCCTGATTCAGGTGCATCCAAGTCAAACCACTGAAAGGTACGAGAATGAAATAAAAGTTATACATGTATATATATAGATTCAGAATGATAAAATACAATTATTTTCAATTTTGAGAAGATTGTGATACAGTCTGTGTTAGTAACCAGAAACCCATAGGAACGATCTTTATATAAAAATCAGCAACCCATAAAGACCACATTTGGGCAGTCTCAAAGCAATTTACATACAAAGTGACCTGTATAGAAAGATCAGCTGTCTATAAATTTATTTAAGTACCTTGAATGGTTGGAATACACAGATTTGACTGTACAATTGACTTACCGCTTTCCAATCTCTGTCATCTCTTTCAATATCACTGGGAAGACTACCAAACACCTCATCACTGACTTCACTCAGTCGCATAATATCTTCCCATCCTTGATCAGGAATCCACTTAGCCGGTTTGCTTTTCTTACTCTTGTCAAGAGAGATGTTACCCTTGATAAAGAAGTCTAATTCTTCCTGAGGCATGTTGCCTTCAGCCTGCTCTAGCTTGGCAGTCATTTGGAATGAGAACAGCAGTTTATGCTTCTCAAACAGACCTAAAATAAGTCAATGATATGTTGTAATTGTGACACTTTGGGTATAATAACAAGCAGTCAACTGGAATGCATGAAATGTGAAATAACAAAAGAAGCATACACTGATTTAAGCTAGCAAAATATTTAAAATTAGAAAAGGGATTCCTACCTGTACAAGCATAATTGTATATATTATGAGTTAGGGTGTCCATGATATTGCGTAATCTCTTAAGGAGTATTGAATCTGGCAGACTCTTACGAAGGGAGTGCTGGAAGACATCAAGGTAGGAAGCCAAGGAATACTGGTACATGGAATTGATGAGTGCCATTTCAGCCAACACAAAGAACAGGATGGCTCCACGTTTAGCTGCTGGGCGGTAACCATCACGAAGTCTGTCAATATCAATAGCAGTCTTAGCAGCAAGTGCCAACTTGTCTGAAACCTACATAATTAAGAAATACATCATTAGAGACAGTGAGGTATGATTCAATGTCATTTATAAAAAAACATGTCTTTCAGTTGCCACAACTAAGAAACCATGATTACCATGACATAAACTAAGGCAACAAGCTTACAACTTAAAATAAGTATGCAAAATACAAAACATTAATCCAGCAAACAAATCTTGCATTCCCTCACAAATATTGTTTTCAAGATTTACTAGAGGTTAATTATGCCAATAACCAGTAAAACACTATTAGGCAACTTAATTTTATAACATAATTCCACTATGTGATCACTTACCTCAGTTGCTTTAGTCTTTGTATCTTCTAATGTCTGAATCAGTTCAACATTATCCAACATGTTACCAGTAGATGTGGCCAACTCCCTCAATAAAGAGTCCTCTAAGTCTTTCAACAATCTCTTGTTGGTGCTAGTTTCCTGGATCAAACGCTCTCTCTGTTCTTCTAACTCTTTTCTCTCAAAACCAACAATGACACTAAGTAACTGGTCCTCTAAACCCTGTAATACAGTTTCAAAGTGAGAGACTTAATCAAGTTAACCAAATATCATCGAGAAGAGTAGGTTTCTAAAAATGTTATAGAGAAGACGACATATGCCCAAAACATACCCCATAGTGATAATTGTCATTGTGACATCATACCCTGACACATTTTATAGCAATAAAAAGTCAATTGCCAAATATTGGTCTCCAGTGCCATGTGACTTAGAGCTATCAGCAAATACAATGGCAATTGGTGGTGATTTAGTAGAGTTTCTTTAACTTACCTTCAAAGTGACTGTATAATTAATAACCATGGCTTTACCAAAAACAGCTGGTGTATACTTAGGATTAGAAAGTTTGGTATTCAAGTAGAGGCGGAAATTGGGATCATAGTCAACTTCTTTGTCACCAAGCATGATGAACTGTCTACCTTGTTGACCTAGAACAGAAACATTCAGATATCATTACTGTATACAAATATAACACTTTACAGTGACATCATTAAGTTTACAGTAGCAAAGTTTTACAGGGCTATATATATTGGAAACACTTAAAACATCATCACATCATAGTCTTAATTTATAGTGATGACCACTATTCCAAAACATTATCCCTAAAATAATCCTCAACATAAAATAACCTTTCAGGTGACACAGCGGTAAATCACTGACTCACATACCTTTTATATTCTTCTCCAGTACATTGTCAATAACAGGGTCAATGTACTCATCTACATCTTTGAATAGGAATGGGAAGCCATATTTAATGGCCATCTCCAGCTGCTTCAGGAAGTCAGGATCATTGAATGTACATGTCTGAAATACACAGAAAAATGTTAGGGCTTTTTTCTCAGCTAGAACTAAAACTGAACAGTTTTCAATTCATTTTTTGGTACTACTTCACTACTTTTTGGAATACTTCTTGAAATGTTACATAAGCTTACAATAGCGGTGAAAGGATTATACTTGATCATCAACCAATAGCATAGTTCAGTTTTGAATGCTTCTAATATTAATAGAACTTCATCAGTGTTTTAATACTCTCGTCTGAATCTAAGAACTTCATGATTAATTTTACATAGTTGTGTCATTCAAAAACAAAGCAAAGCCTAGTATTTTGTAAACAGCGCTTAATATTCAATTAGGCGGCAATTACAGATGCTCAATTGTTCTAATTAGAAAAACATCAAGTTACAAAAATAGCCACACCCATATTTTAGAAACCAAGTCCACGTTTGCAAAACCGTGCCCAAATGCAATGTTCAATTAATAGTTAACTGAACTTACAGACAACACAGATTTTGTTTGGTTTGATTTAACTATTTATTGATTTAAAGTAAGTTTTAATAACTCAATGTTCCTAACTTGAACAATTCAGCATGTTATATGAAGTGTTTTTTCATTCCCTATAGTACCCAGTAAACATACTTTCAAATTGTTGGCTTCTTCTTTCTTTCTGATCCAATTCAATGCCTGTTGTTGTGGATCAATACAGAGGGGAAATCGACTGGCTCTTGTTGTCAAAATACCATTCTGAACCGAGAGTTCATCAGGAGGTAAACCTTCAGATCCCCACCTAGAAATTAAGTATTACACACAGATGCTATATATTATATGGGTTAATCAAGAGTACCTCAAAGTATACATGAAGACACACCCTGCTGACATACATGCAGTCAAGGTCAAGCATTGTCTACATTCAACGACACATTTCATGATTGGGGTTACAATTAAAAATGGCATACATACCTGCTGATTTCTACATCATCAGTCAACAGGTTTTCTAATTTGTAAGGTTCACTGTATGGAATACCACGTGCCTTGACATCTTGCAACCACAGTTCATGCATCAATTCACTACGAAATTCCCATGTGAATGCTCCTACATAACTTAAGAAGCCTGATGCCAGCAAACAGTCTCCCAGCAATCGTATACGACGCTGTCGCAAGTCTTCTAAATCTTTTGTCCATCTCACATTCTCTGAACTAAGACCAGATATGAGTTTATCAGCTGCAATAAGTCGTCTTTCCATTATCTCTGTCTCTTCTTGTAATTGTTGCCTTTCCCTCATTGCTGTTTCATATTTCTCTCCAAGTCGTTTCAACTCAGACTCCAGCTTACCCACCTCATTGTTGATTTTCTCTAGGTCACGCTTGGCCTGGTGGAAGGACCTTTCAAGACGAGCTACTTTTTCTCTTTTTGGCTTAACTTCACGGGCAACGTCACAGTAACCCATTACAGCTGTAACAAATTTCAGAAGACCTGAACCAGCTTTACTTACGTCTCTCATTTCTTGCTGAGAAATGTTCATTTCTTTCACAAATCCTTTCACAGTTCGAGTCTATATTAGAAAAGAAAAAAAAACACAATCATTTCTTACTATCTATATATAGGTCACATGTTGCAACAAAACTCCCCATAGACGACAAATTAAAAACTTGAAAAGTAGGGCTATTTTACATACAGAACCAATAATCAACTACCCAAAATTTGTTTTAGTAAACAGTAGAGATGTTGAAAGTTCACTAGCAGTATTGAAAATGTTGAGCCAGCTAAATGATCATCTGTCTACTATCGGTATTTGCTTCCACTCACAAATTTAGGGTTTGGTTATTCTGGTAACATATAACAGTTTGAAATACAAGCTTGCCATTCCTTGCCAACAATTGTATTCAAAATAGCAAGAATTACATTTGTGGGAATCTACTTGATAACAATTCTAAATGTGGTATAAATCCTATACGTAAAATGTAAGTTTGATTGGATAAAAAACAAATTTGCAAAAATTTATTTTTCGAGCAGGTTTGGTAATGCTTCCATTTTACTTCAATGGTGCAACACATTTTGTCTTAAAATCATTCATCATATATGTTTTTCTGTACAATACTATTGTAATCTGATCAAGTATTCTGTACCTGTGAACTGGTGATATTATCCACATCCATTTCAGTCAGAGATTTCAAGAAGCTTGACTCTGCCATCATTGCTTTTGCTGACTTCCAGGAGACTTCTTTAATGCCACGCAAGACAACAATACACTCACAGACTGTCTGTACAGGTTTTGGTGGTTTAGCAAATGATCTAAAAATGAGTTACATG